AAATGCAGAACCTTCCACAATATTTGGGTGCACTAATCTGAACTTATTCTTGTTCAAAAGGGCAAGGTGATTTTTTTTTCTTCACCTCAGCCTCCAAGACAGAATGTTAAGAGGTTGTCTTTGTATTTGGAAAATCACTGCCCCTTGCCTAAACTGTATCTTAGACTTCTAAATTTTAACATCTTGATTTACATACTTAAGCTTGAGTAGATTATATGGCAATATTTTGTCCTTGTTTTTTTTTTCTTGGAGAAAGGAAATCCATCTCTGTCTTCCTGAACATTTCTGATCTCCCTTTCTGTTACGGTGCTAAGATTAAACTGCTTCACTGCGCAGAGGCTCTGTCAGCAGCTTTATTGAATGACTTCTGTTCATTGGACTGGTACATCTAAGGTTTTTAATTTCTCCTCCTTTTTGTGCCTGATTTTAAAAGAGGTGGTATTTTGTTCTCTGGTGAGCTCAAAGTATCACATTGCATGCTGACATCTACAGCTTCTGGAAGTAAGAACATCTACACCGCAGTTTTACCAGTACAGGCCATATTTAGCCCAGAAGAAACATTCTGTCTGCTAGCAATAACCATCCTCAGCTCCGTAGGTGGAAGACAGATATTCTATCCTACCTCACATTTCAGAGTAACTGTGGGAAAAAACGATAGGAAAATGGGTATAATCTTTTCTTTCCTTTGATGTAAAGTAGCTTTCAGGAACATTGTATTACTTCATTTAGGATTTAGTCCTCCTTTGATATACATGTTACTTCTGAACTCCAGAAGACAGGTATAATCAGTCCTGAAAAAATGAATTTGTTTTGCTGGAGCTGGTAGGGGTCTCAGGTACATGTTAGTCGCTAGTCATTCTTTTCTCCAGAATGGGCACATGGGCACTTCATAGCTAACTATCCGGCAAAGATTCTTGCTTATTTATTTATTTTTAAAGACTTCTTTGTGTCAACAGCAGCTGAGAAGTGCAAGCCGCAGAGTGCCAGGTGGGTAGCTCTGGCATGGCATGCCAGCTGCTTGGAGATGCTGGGTAATTGAGGTGGATGAAGAACATCTTTGCCTGTTTTCAAGACTCAAATCTATGAATCTGACATGGTCTATGAGTGAACAGCTTTGCTAACCAAAATATGCTACTCTCTTCAAGTCTTGCCTCTGTTTGTCTGTGGTTCTTCCAGCTTGTTTTACCATGCAAAAAGCTAAATCTCATTTCACATGAAGATGAAACGATACCCAGGAGTTTTACCCATTGCACCTCTAGGTTGCTGCCCTACTCTTGACTGAGATTGGGCTTTTCAGCTCTCATTCTTTGAGGCTGGTGTTACTATCTGTGGGAGACTGGCTAAGACTCTCATAGCCGGTAGCAAGTAGAAGGAGATGCAGAGGGAAAAATCTAGTGCACTTGTCTAACTCTGCCCTAGATACCATTCATAGCATATAAAAACAGTCTTCAGTTGGTATTTTTCTGTGTCTCTGCTTTTGATGACATAATCACAGTAGTCTGTATCTGAGTTTCCTGACATTTCAGGTATTGTTCAAAGGTGCTACTATATTTACTGTCCCAAATGTCTAAAGATTATAATCAGTACTCTATTGTAGGCAAAAAGTAGGACAGTGATTTTATGTTATGTATTCCAAATTGATTTTTTTAGGCTTTAGGTTTGAGTAATGAGCTTTGAGTTTGTTAGAATTTTCTATGCTGCTAACTATTACATTGTAATTTCAAATATCCATCACTGTTGTCAAAATTGATGTTGCAAATGTGTTAAGCTAAACATGCATTGCTTTGCTGTAAATGAAGAAAGGTCATTGAGCCATATGGTGATGGGAGGTCCAGGGGGGATGTTTGTCACTATTGACTGAATTTTAAGAAACAAAGATTCTTGGATCAGCTGTAAAGCTGATAGACACAAATAAAGAAATGGATGAGAGGATAAAGTTTGGGGAATAAGTCCAGTCTTCCAAGTCCTGTAACTTTTTAGTGCATTGTCTGTATACAGACAGAATAGGCAGTCTGTTACTTCATATAAATTGTTTAATTACAAGGATATTTATGGTTTCTTGTCCTCTTTATAATGAGATTGCATTCAAGTCAGATGGGAACCAGTCATTTGTTTTATTAGATTCATTTTGAATCTATCATTATTTTTTATCACAAGTTTACTCAAGCAAAAATTAAGAAGCAAATTAATAGTCTTCATTACTAGAATCCAAGGCTGAATTTATAAAGTAAACCTTTGTTAGCAGTCTGTTCTGTATTCTCCAAATGTCTTGCCTATCAAAATGACCAACAAAGCTTCAGAAAAGCTTCATACGACTATGCTGAAAGAAGGTCCTTCAAAAGGCAAGGCATCTCAGTCATTCATTTAAAACTGTATACTGTCAATATATTTTTCTTCAAGTCAACCTTTTTCTGTCAGGTAATTGGCATGTTTGTCATTTCTACATTAAAAGAATAATATAGTTACTGTAACCAAATATGTATTATATCAGAATCTTTAGTTTTAGAAATAATACCGTGCTTCAGAAATGTCCTACCAAAATCCTGCTGTCAAAACACATAACAGTTCAACAAGCTGGAAAATTTCAAGGCTTTACTGTCTTGTTGCTTAATTCAAAAACCTAAGCACTACTACTTCAGCGAAGGCAAATCATTTTCCCCTGGCAAATGGAAAATGCTTCCAACCAGCAAGGGTCCTTGGCACCCAGTTGGTTTCCAAATGAACAGTTACAATAGACAAAAAGCGCAATATTGTCAAGCAGTTTTCAAGGTACCCATAGCACATTCACAGCTATGTTCATCAGTACCTGGCAGATGTAGAGCACAACAGTGAAAGGGAAACTTTGGCCACAGCATTGGACTAAACCTCTAATCTTGCCATAAAAACGTAACACAACTTGTAATGGCGCTTCACGATACACGAGATCTTTTCTTCAAAATTCATCAGAAATAGTAGCCCAACAAGTGGAGTGGTGCTTATCTGCCTCTAGAGGAAGAACAGAGAAGTCTCGTCAGGGGTTGAACTGGTGCTTCCAATGAATTCCCCACCTGATAATTGGACTGCTCAGTGGCCCAAGTGTCCTGGTCAGCAGTTGTCAGTATCTTGGACATTTAAAGCTCAGCAGAGAGCTATTTGCTATTTTAGGCCATGGGGACACTTGTTATCTGTGGCATATACTGCTTCTAGCTCCTGCAGCACATCCCTGCCTAATGCCTCATTAACTGAGCAACTTGTTCAATTGATTAAAACCCCTTATTTTAATCTTCTTTTTTTTTGCAGTGTAACATTACAGTAGCAACTCCAATTAAGATTTCTTTTTTTAAAAAAACTTTTCATTGCTGAAACCTTTTTACTTTTATCTTTACATTCTGAGTAGCAACTCCAATTAAGATTTCTTTTTTAAAAAAAACTTTTCATTGCTGAAACCTTACTTTTTACTTTTATCTTTAGATTCTGAAAAGCACTCCCTTCTGCAGAAATTCTTTATGCTTAGAGTTAAACCAGTGACTTTTTATTTTTAGAAGTACAGCAACAAAAAGTATGTTTCAAAGACCTGCCAAAATAGGAGTAGTTAATTATGCACTAATAGCACTGGTAGTATTCTGAGCATGTGAAGGCGAAGAAGGTGTTTGGGAACAGTCAGCATCATTTTACCAAGAGTGATTCATACCTGACCAACCTAATTGCTCTCTGTGATAAAAATGACTGGATTTGTGCATGAGAGGAGAGTGGTGGATGTCATTTACATCAAGTTCAGCAAAGCTTTTGACACAGGCTCCAATGATGTTTTTGTATCCCAGGTAGGGTGTTACGTCTTGATAGCTGAGAACTGGATGGGTTAAAAGTTGTTTAGATGATTGGGACTCAGAAGGTAGTATTTAATGAGTCATGCTCACCGCTGGGAGGCTGGTAATAAGTGGGCAGAGCGGGAATATATCCTGGGACCTGTTCTGTTTCCCATCTGTGCGAGTGGCCTGGAGGAGGTGGCGGTGCTTGCTTACGGAGTTTGCAGATGACGCCGAAGCGGAAGCCCAGTTGATGTACTTGTGGCAGGGCTGCCATCCAGAGGGACCTAGACAGGCTGGAGGAGAAGGCCAACGTCAGCCATACGTAATTCAGCAAGGGCAAACCCAAAGTCGTGGGGCTCGCTTGGAAAGCCCTGGCAATAGGCCGGGCTGAGGCCCAGCTGGCGGCAGGGCGGCTGTGCTGAGAAGGGCCTGGGGACGGTGGTGGGCAGCGAGCTGGGCGCGAGGCAGCAGTGAGCCCGGGCAGCAGGGAGGGCCGAGAGAGCCGCGTCCTGCGCCGCGTCGACAGGAGCCTGCGGGGAGTCCAGAGCACATCCAGATTCCGCATCCGATCTCGGGTGCACAGCAGCGCGAAGAA